ATTCAGATTATCACTGTAAACAACTACATTACAGTATAAACAAGGTGTGGCAGAGAAGGATGTAGCTGCATCTGTTAAAATTCCTCTCTGTGCCCCCTTGTTTCTGGGTGCCCAAACATACTTGTTTACCAAACATTTACTTTCATATTTCTGTGAAGTGTTTTCCCTTCCTTTGAAGTCCCAGACCCCTACCCCCTTCTCCTTAGTGCAGGAGGACACACAGACATCACTGTCCCTGCCTTTGGATTCCATGTCTGTAGATACTCCGTACATAAGTAATTAAACTTCTTTTTTTCTTGTTATGTCTCATGTCAATTTGATTCTTAGACCAACTAGAAGAACCTCTAGGGGCAAAGGAAATTTCTTCCAACACAACCAAGTGAGGAGACGACCCTGAGGCAGCCAATGCAGGAGAAAGGACATCACATGAAGGGGTGAGCCTTCCTGGGGACAGTGGTGTCCATGGAACGGTGTAGGTGGGGAACTCCCAAGACAGAGGGCCAGGTGGGCGTTTGGATGCCCCTCCCCGTGGTGACCGGATCACTGCCTACCCACACTACCACTTCCAGAAGTCGAGCCATGATAGAAAAAGCGCTTGGGAAATCTTTTGAATATTTTAATGATCATTTCCCTTTCTTTCTGGATCATTTCCATCAGCCTAGAAATATGCTGCAATCTCTCTAAAACAAACCCACTCCCTTATCACACATCCTGCTCTAGGACGTCCAATCCTCTGCTCCACTACACAGAACTCCTCCCAAAATGCATATGTACTCCCCATGATAAACCTCCCCTCCTCTCATCCTCTCTAGAACTGACCCCACCACCCCACTGAAAAATGCTTTTCAAGATCACCAAGGGCCTCCATGTTGCCAGACCCAATGGCCAGTTCGTAGGCCTCACGTCACTGGTCCCGTGGGTCAGATTTGCCACAACTGACCGTTACTTCCATTCTGGTCACCTGGCTGGGTCACTGCTCTTGTTCTCTTAGAAGCTCACAGGCTGCTGCTTCTCAGACTTACGGTTCCTCTTCAACTCCCTTTCCTCTAAGTGAGGGCCCACCCCAGGGCTTAGTTGGTCCTTGGTTTCTTTTCATCATTATCTACTGTTCTTCCCTTGAAAACTTCATCTCTACATTAAATGCTAGAGTGTATCACTTCAACTCCAACCTCTTCCCCAAATTCCAGACTTGGATATCTACCCACTTTCCTTCCATCACTGGCTTACATGACCCTGTCCAAAACTGAACCCTTGATTCCACCCATCATCCCAACAACAAAACAACAAAAACCCAACCCATTCCCCAGAATGGTCACTTTCCGGCTGCTTTGGGCCAAGGGGAAACCTGACACCTCCTCTTATAGGCACATCCAATCGGTCAGCAAATTGTGTGAGCAGCAATAAAAATTCTTGACTGCATGTCTTTATGTGCACTAGGAGATATGTCTATAGCATAAATTTCTTGCAGAACAAGCCTGCATTTTTAAGATTCCAAAATGTAATATTCCTGCTTTCCTCAATTTACTAATAACAGTTCTTATGTTTGTTATAGCAACAGGACACTAGTTTTATAAATTATGCTATATTTCAGAGATACCAAGATGTGTTTTTTTTTTTTTTCACATTTAACATGTCTGAAATCCAGATTCAGCATTTTACAATTGCTATTGGCTAAGCAGCAGGCTTGGAATTAGGTGTTCACACTGATGGTATTTCCAATGGCTCGTGGGCAACAATGATGCTATACATGTTGAGTCTGCCATTTAAAATGTCTTCAAAAGTTACAGTGTTATTTGGCGCTGAAATAAAAAGTTATTGCATAGGAAGGTGCAAAAACAAGAGCAGGACATGTGTGTGATATTAGTGAAGTAAATATTTATTGTAACATTAAACAAATGTAATTCAGTATTTTCCCGCAAAGCAACAACCAAGCCTTCCAATGGGACCTCTGGTAGGAAGATAAAGCTGTGTCAGCTTTTGTTATTAAGATACATGTAAAAATGAATCTGCCAAGCAGTACAAGTGATGGCAGAAGAAATTGCAGATTTCCTCAGAGAAATCTATTTAAAAAAATAAGAGGCTGTTATGACTAATTCATTGATCACTCATGTTTATCAGGAAAGTACTGTGTTGTGGTTTAACTCGCAAAGTTTTTCCACTTCTGTGCTTAAAATAATGGTGCATCTTATAATATATGGCATCAGGTATCAGTTAAGTACAGTATAGCTGACAATGAAATGCCTTACAGCTAGGAAAATGGGAAAAAATAGGCTGGGATGGAAGGATCTCCAAGACAAATTGCAAGTGCAAAATTGTTCATAGTACAACTATCACTTTTTAAAAAAATAAAATATAAAGAAGAGACAGAAAGTACCAATAGGAAGCCAGGAATAGCCTTCTTCTATGGAAACTTGACATTATCAACAGCTCGCCTTGTAAATCTGGGAAGAAAGCATGGGCTACTTGAAATAGTAATGGACCACCTTGGTATCCATGCAGAGAAAAAGAAAAAGAGAAAATAAACTTAATACAGTGAAATTAAGTACTTCTCTTTACCAAATGATACGAACCAAGAAGAGCAAAAAGGCACAACACAGATACAAAGGCACAGACTGGAATTCTAACTGCAATCCCGTCCTCTGACAAAGGACTTGTCACACACTGGGAAGGCACTTGTGCACACATCTGACAAGGGATTTACATCCAGAACATATAAAGACTCTAAGAAAATTAAAAAGAAAAGGACTCTTAATGGCAAAAGACTTGACAAGTCACTTCACAGAAGGATTTCTAGTAGCCAGTAAGCAGCGAAAGGTACTCAACAGAGTGAATCTTCTGGGAAATGAAAATTAAAGCCACAAGGATCTAAAACTGCATAGATCACAATGGGTAAATTAATGAGACGATGCCAGCACTACCAAGGATACAAAGCAAATGGCACTTCCATACATACTGGTAGGAGAGTAAACTGGTATATGTATTTTGGAAACCTGCTTGGCAGTTATCTAATAAAGCAAAAGGTATGTATACCCTTCTACTCAACTCCTAGGTAAATACCAAAGACAAGTGCATAGGTCCACCATAAGGCACGTGTGAAGATGTGCACGCAGCTAACCCAGATGCCCTCCTGTAGTGAAACAGAGCGCCATTACCTGAGGAGGGGAGGTAGGAGGAGGAGAGAGTAAGGAATGAACTGCACACCTACCCACCACAGCATGGCTGGCTCTGCTGGGGAGGGAAGGAGGGGCGACAGGGAATGCGCACAAGGGGCTTGCATTACACAAGCCATGCTCTGGTCTTCACTGGGTCTTGTGTCCACAGGTTTTCATTTTCACTTTTTCTTAATGCTGTGTGTGTGTAGGTTTGAATATCTTTGAGTAAGGGCAAAACCGGGACAAAGGATTATTGACATTTTGGTAAAAAGAAAGATAATATTTAATGTACATACACACGTGAGCAGGCAAGGGTGTGTGTACTTATCAACATGTAAGGTATAAGAGACACTGGCAACAGGAATTCTTGAGAGGAGGCAAAGTGTGGAGCCGTGGGTCAGAGCTGGCGGGAAGGAGCCTTCCCTCCCATTATATGCCTTCGGTGCTCACTGAGTTTGCTGCCAGATATTTTTCCCCTCGGCAAAATCCCTCTTTGAATATCCCAGAAATACCCATATGCACTCTTGGTGGGAATGTAAGTTGGTGCAACCACTGTGGAAAACAGTTTGGCAGTTGCTTAAAAAATTAAAAACAGAACCTTACCATATGATCCAGCTATTGAAAGAAATTAAAAACACTAACTTGAAAAGATATATACACCCCATATTCACTCCAATAGCCAAGATATGGAAACCTGTGTCCATTGACAGATGAATGGATAAAGAGATGTGGCATATATATGTATATATATGATGAATGTTACTTAGCCATTAAAAAAGAAAGAAATCTTTCCATTTGTGACAACATGGATGGACTGAAGGGAATTACAGTAAGTGAAATAAGTCAGAGAAAGATAAATACCATATAACTAAAATCTAAAAAACAATCTAAAAAAACAAAAACAAGTTCACAGGTACAGAGAACAGATCGGCCCTGGGTAGAGGTGGGGTGGAAGAATGGGTGAAGGGGTAAAAAGACACAAACTTCCAGTTATTAAATAAACAAATCACAGAGATGTAAGTACAGCAGGGTGACTATAGTTAATAATATTGTATCACATATTTGAAAGTTGCTAAGAAAATTAATTTTGAAATTTCTCATCACAAGAAAAAAATGTTTTAACAGATGTTAACTAAACACATTATAGTGATCACTTTGCAACACACACAAGTATAAAATCATCTTGTACACTTGCAACTAATATAATGTTACATGTCATTTATAGCTCAACTTAAAAATATTAAAAGATAAAAATAAATAAAACCCCAGAAATAGATTGGCAAGTTTGCATGTGAAAACTAATATTCTTAAACTTTTGTTCTGAACTAAAGTTCAGAAGTATTGACTGAACTTGAGACTTAGTGTGACTGTGTTATGTATAACATATATGATACATATTACACAGCATAAAATATATCATACGATATATAAAATCTGGAGTGATTATGTCAAATATAATTAAGAGTAGGAAAGCTGTAGCTCAGAGATGGAAAAGACACAGACATGAAGACAGACTTCAAGAACAAGATGGAAAGAATTTGGAAGCCCCCACCTGTTATGTTTCCACACCGACCACTGTTACTGAACCACACGCCATTTCTTCACAGCCCTGACCCCCATCTGTCAGTACACATCCATTTCAAGGGTTTCTACTATGAACGTGTGACCGCTGTCCCAGACACTGAGCTACGTGAGGGCAGAGAAGTGGCTTTTGCTCAGCGCTGTATTCCCAGACATGGCCCACTTGAGATGCTACAGCACAGAGGTCAAGAGCACAGAGGTTCTCAGTTCATCCCTGCGGGCCTTTGTCTCCTCCTCTCCAGAATGAGGCCAGGAGCACCTCCTCACAGGCTGGCTGTCAGCACACAGGAGGCACCGAGCACGATGCCCAGCACTGGGTAGAGTGTCAGAATGTGGGTGATGGCGATGATGACAGGCGGGTAGCAAGGAGAACCAGGACTTGCCTGAAAAGCAGCAGTACTTTCTCAGGATGAGGATAGAACATCTTGCTAGGAAGGAATAATGCTTTCAGTAATTCCCTGGTTTGTGTATTTGCAAACTGCTCATTGCAGTGCTATATAAGGTAAGAGGGCAATGGGATCCCAGAAGGGAACTGGGACAGGGTGGTAGGTGTCCAGTAAGGAGAATGAGGCAGCAGGTAGAAGTGAAGGATCGCCCATATACAGCAACAGGGACAGAAATGCGGAATATGGAGCCGAGGGAAACGGTTAAGAAGCGCAGTGAAATCTGTAGGACAAAAGACTTTCTATCTATTGCAATTATAGGCATACAAAGGAGTAAGAGACACTTAAAAACACATACAAACCAAAAGAATATTCATTCAATATACAAGAACGATTTCCGAAGGGGGAACAGGTGGTGAGCCACATGGGAAATGAAAGTAGAAGGGAATAAAAACAACAAGGAGAGGAACCTCAGACGCCCCATGATGGGCCAGTTAATTACACGGCATGTAAAGAGGCGGAGCACCTTTTATAAATGGAATGGAATTTATCAGCTGGTAGCCTGGCTACTCTAATTACACAGCAGCTACTAAATCTTATTACTGAGTGTGAGAAGCAGTAATTAATATCAGACTGTCATATCATGGCCCACCAAAGTGAAAACAACACCTTGCTCTTAGGATGAAGTTTGGCTTTGAAAAGGTGTAAATATTTCCACCTTGGTGCCAGTTTGCAATCCCTGGAGTAGATAGAGCATTAAAGACTGCTAGGCATTTATCTAATGCTTCAGAAAAGGTGGGACGGTGATTCTCTTGAACATAGTTAAGAAATCTCTAGAGAGTTTGTGTAAATGTAGTTTCTTATCCTAGCTCCCCAAGTTTAGATTATTTGGGTTGGGGTCAGAGCCCAATACAAACATGTCTATTGTAGAATCCTGAATATTCTATACATACAAGCGAGCACCCTACCAGGGAATAGAGAGTAGGCACACGTGATCAACTGGGTGTTTATATCACTTAATTAGTTATCCTGACATACATTTATTTATTCAGAGAATTCAAAATACCTCTTGGATGAAGACCTACTTAACCACTTAGTCTGACTATGAAAAGAACAGGAAAGAAAAACATGGACATAAGTCAATGGCAGATAGGACCAAACATCAGACAGATGACTGATACAGAGGTGAGCCTGCAGTGACTCTGACAGTCATCATGAAACTGAGTAACATAAGCGGGCAAGTGAAAGTTAAGTCATCCCTGATGAAACAGTATCAGGCAACTGGAAGCCAGTGGCTCCAATCCTCCGGCCAGTATCTCACATATCAAATGTAGCTACCATGAAAAAGCAATTCGTGATAATTACCGGACGGGATGGTATAATGCTTGTGTGGTGCACAAGTAGTCCACATGTTTTATTTATAATGTTACCTGTGTCATGCTCTTTCCAAATTACAGGTGGTTGTTTTTCCTGCCTTATCGTTTGTAAATTCTAGTTGATATAAACATACCAACCAAATGTAAAATGCTGACTCACTAAATGGTATAAGTTATTCCCTTAAATTCTTATCTTACTACTTGGAAAGGAGGTCCAAAGCACACATCAAGTATGTCAGCTCATGGACTGTAGCGGGAAAGACCAACTTAGTGGGGTTCTCGTCACTGAGGTTCTTGAATCTTCGCGGGCATTAGAATCACCAGACGGATCTACTCAGTCAGACTCTCTGGGGACTTGGGGGTCAATATGTGTATTTTAAACACCTGGTGATTCAAATGCAGAAGTTGAGGGCCACCAACAGTGAGGATCAGTACGATGACAGGCCACACTGTAAAAACAGATTTAAAAGCTAGTCTGACTCCAGATTGTAGGATTTGGGGAGTCAAAGGAATTCACTACATCATAGAACTTGATAGGTTAGAAAACTAGAGGCCAATACCTTTCATGAGCATCGACACAAAAATTCTTAACAAAATATTTGCGAACTGAGCACAACAAGATATAATATGAATTGTTCACCATAATCAAGTAGGATTTAGCCCAGGAATGCAAGGTTATTTTAACACCCAGAAATGAATGAATATAATAAACTATAATAATAGAATAAAGGATGAAAACACATAAACCTGTCAGAATATTCAGGAAAAGCATTCAACAAAATCCAATATCCATTCATGGCAAAAACTCTCAACAAACTAGGGACATAAGAATCTGAAATTTTGAGTAGAAAAGTATCTCAAAGCTTCAAACTTAGTAGCAATGTTTCAACAAACTTAAAAAAATTGCTTCTTCCTATCATAAAGTTAAATAATAAAAATATTATAAAACTCAGTAATATTAAAATGTCAGAAACTGAAGGAGATGATGACTTGTTAAATTGTCCCAACTCTTTAAAGCTTGTTAGGGAGACTGTAATTCAAAATTCATTATCTAGACTCTTAACAGTCTTTCACAAGGCATGAAAAGAATGTCAAAGGACCACTTAGGTATTGATTCTATGGCTTAATTTTTTTCCCTATTTCATAGAGAATCTAGTAACCATACAATTACCTGACAGAATAGCTAGATTATAACAAAAAAGCTCAGTCTCATTCTCCCTGTTCCTAAAATGTCCACGTGCCACACCCTCTTCATCTCCACCCACAATCAGTCATCCCCTGGCAATTATGCCTCAGTATCTCCCACTCTCCTTAGGGCCGCAGCCACCCAGGAAAGGATGGACACAAAGGTCTTCACATACCATATTCACCCACACAGATGACCTCAGCCTCTCCAGGCATGTCCTGCTTTGCAAGGGCACTAACCAAGAGATGGTGACCTACCGGGAGATTTTATGGCCATGCTGTTGAAACCTGCCACTGTAACTCCCATTGCGAACTTTATTTTCAAACATTTTCTATGGGGAAGAAGGGCCTTCTACTCTCATTCCTTTCCAACTTATCCTGAGACTTCAGGAAACTGACAGCAAGAAGTAGCGACTCCACTACAACAACAAAGCAAAACTGAAGGAACAAAACAGCAGCAGACTCACAGACTCCAAGAACAGAGTAGCGGTTACCTAGGGGAAAGGGGGTGGGGAGGGAGGGAGAAGGGGATTAAGGGGCATTATGATTAGCACACATAATGTAGGGGGGGCACAGGGAAGGCAGCATAGCACGGAGAAGACAAGCAGTGACTCTATAGCATCTTACCACACTGATGGATAGTGATTGCAATGGGGTACAGGGGGGACTTGATAATATAGGTGAATGTAGTAACCACACTGTTGCTATGTGAGGTTCATAAGAATGTATGTCAGTGATACCTTAATTTAAAAAAAAGTAGCAACTCCCCCTCCCCAGATTTCCGAACCATCACCACCTCTACACCTTGGAGAACTGCTGCCCAGAGAGGAGGCATTACACTGGTAAACTGAGGAAATAATGGTAAGTCTTTATTAAGAGAAGCCAAAAAGCCTCGCTCCTTGCTCATTCCTTTACTCATTTAAATGCCTGTCTGTGGCTGCTTCTACATCATGTGGCAGAGCCGGTTAAGTGACAGGAATCACATGACCCACAAAGCTGAAAACACCTACTATCTGGCCCGGTTTATTATCAAGACTCCTGGTCTTGATAATCGGGAGAAAGGAGTCACTGGGGGCTATCGGGGGCTGTTTGTGAACGACATACTAGCAGTTTCACACAGGAATAAACAATGGTAACTTGCCCACCAAAGTACCCGAAAACAGGGAGGCAGTTTGCACCTCAGTTCCGATGAATGTAGGACGAATATATAGACTAGCAGAGGTTGAATACGGGACCCACTCTTGATCCAGTTTCACAAGCTGTTGAATACACTCTAAAAGCTCCTCTTTGTCAAATACCTGAAGGAATGAAAAACATAATAAATGATGAAATTCTCTGCCATTGTAGCAAAAAGCAAACATCCTCCTGAAAACTTTAGAGGTTAAAAAAGGAAAAATAATAAAACCAAATAAGATTTTTTTTTCTGTGATTTTCCCCACACACACCCCAAATTGAGACAGGATGATGGATTACCCATATGGGGGTAAGGGGGCATAAAAAATCGGATCCTTACCTCTTATCATACCCAAATATCAACTACAGTGAAATTATACACTTAAATGTGACAAAACATTAAAATTTATATTAAAAAAATACAAAATATCACTGTTACCTGAAGGGAGAAAATAATTCTTAAATAAGATATAAAGCACAAATCATCAAGGGAAAAAAAAAACATAAAGTTTGATTATTTAAAACTTAACTTTCTTCAAAAGAACAAACTGTGTGCAACAAAAGAGAGAGAGACACACAGATGACCCAACAGAAAAATGGGCAGAAACAAAGAGCAGTTTATTTCTAAGGAGAAAAACGTTTTTAATGTACTAGATGGAAGACAGTGTATAAAATTAGTAGTTTCTACCCACTCGGCAGGGCAAAGAAATACACTTTGGGTGATGTGATGGGTTTTCCAAGGTGAACATGAGTTGGAAACATGCATCTGAATAGTACTCGGGATATCAGGATTTGGCTATTTAAACACTAACCTATAGCAGCAATCACAGTGCAGTAACATTTAGTAATCAGGATTGCCAATTATTTAGAATCTGTCAACACGCGGTGTCACCTGCTTGGGTTCTGATACTGCTGTCAGAGATAAGATTTAGTAGAAAGAGAACTTGACTAGGGATTCTAAACCTTGCATCCAATTTCTTGCCCTGTCCCTTCACTCTGTGTGACCTGAGGTAAGTCACTTACCCTATCTGGGCTCAAGTTTCCTTCTCTATGCAAAGATGCTACTAAAATTTACAATACATACCTTCTTGACAGTGGCTTACTGCTATGGTTAAACAGACAAGGGATGTAAAACCACATGGCACAGTTTGTGGTAGAGCTGAGGTCCAATAAATGTCACTTCCCTTTCCTTCTGTCCCCCTTTTAAAGGATTTCCCAATGATTTGTCTGTAATGGTAGGAGAGTGAAACTAGAAATTACTCGAAGAACTCACCTTAAGCTCCTTTCTGGAACCATATTATGGCCTCGGAAGGAGATGGCTAAAGCATGGGTTACAACAGAGGGAAAGGGAAGACCTGTCTAGAGAGAAGTCATTATGTGGGCTTCCTTAATGTGCAGCTTGCACCACATCCCAAGTTAGATAAACAGAACATGTAAGGGAAGGAAAAGACTTCTTTCATTTCAGAAAGGCAGCCTGGTCACGTCTCAGGGAATGGAAGTTATCCAAGTCACCTCCTACCTAGTCATGAACCTTAGGGTCTAAATCCAACCCACCTCACACTGAATTCTGCTCTATAACAATGTTATAACCAGGATCCAATGGCCGTGAGACATCACTTTGATATTTTCTTTTTTTTTTTTAATAAAATTTGAGGTGAAGTATCAAAATAATTATTGCATACTCACTAGTGTCTAAAGTGATCAGACAAAATATCTGGGGGATACCATGCTTTCATACTTTCTATTTTCTATACTATAATTCCATATGGTCTTTAAATTTTATTTATTTTAGTTTGAGGTACCTTCTTCTTCCTCATCCTATTATCTCCCACATACATATTAATCTCCCCCAGACTGTCCCAAAGAAACAGAGCGTGGAATCGCCAAACGATACTGCTTATTTCCTCGCAGTTTTGCCTCACAGATTTCAAAGTAGGTCTGAAAGAACTTCAGTGTTCTTACGGTTTTTACTCAACATTGATCTACGTGTTCAGAAATGATGTTCACTGTGACCCATTATATCAAAAGACACAAAAGAAAGCCCCAAATGTACGCACCGGCAGAGTTGCCCTGATAGCAGATCGGTACATTCTATCCATGTTGAGGTTTGGCCGAAACAGTCGAATTTTATTATCCACTCCTCGAAATGCCTTCAATCCTTCAAATAACTGAAAATAAAAGAGCAATGATCTTAGAGGGCAACAGAAACAAGCCCTGTGTTCACATAACTGACTTTTCTCTGGGTGCTCATCTGTCACCCTGTGAAGCTGCTGACACAGACTTCAACCAGAGACCCCTCAATCTAAAAAAGCCAACCGCTGACAGACTGGTCATAGGAACTGGGATCAAAGGAAGTCCTTTTATTACCTAAATCTGGTGGGAATTAAGAGTTATTCTTAATTTAGCAGGAGCCACATTGCTAAATAACACATCAATGGAGAGGCTAAGAAAACTCCAATTGCACAGAACATGGGGGGTGAGCAGCCAGCCCCCTAAAAAGCCCCCTAAACACACCCATGTATTCTTTTCCCTTAATCCGGCTCATTCAGATTCTGGGTTGTTGGTAATTGTGATGTGACCAGGGCTGGTTTAGTCCCCCAAATCACAGAAACCAAGCCCTTCAGGAGGATACTAGGTGAGGGCACTGCCACCTTTCTCAGGCAAACCACCGGGCAGGGATGCTGAAGACCTGGAGCAGGTGCACACTGATAAATGCAGAGAAAGGAGAAAAATCAATCATTTCAGTGGGAAACTTTAACACGGGTTCCCTAAGGAACTGACAATAAACAGGCTAACACTCAGTAAACGTATGGAAGATCTGAACAATAGGGGTGACCAATCTAATGAGCACATGTTCTTTTTGCCTGGTTTCTAACTGTAAGATATGTGAGAAATCAATACCAGAACTACAAAATGTCCACATTCTGGAAAAGAAGAAACCCTTTTCTAAATAAAGTATGAGCTAAACAAGAAACATAATGGAAATTAGAAAATATGTTGAGCTGAATGATACTGAAAAGTAGGGCCTTTAGAAAGTTACAGCCTTAAAGCTTAGCTTGCATGAGAAAAGAAACATAAATTGGGTAGCACAGTTAAAAAGCACAAAATTAGATATAAAAATTACATGTATGTATTTAAGTGCATATATGTAATCTACTAAATGTAAAAGGAGTAAAGCTTCAGTTAAAAAGTAAGGTTGTCAGATTTGACTCACCTGATAACATCTAAAATACATCAGAAGCAAAGACACAGAAAGAGAGCATACAAATTCCTTCCAAAATAAAGCTGGTGAGGTTGTCTTAGTAATATAAAACAAAATAGACTTAAAGAAAAGAAGCATTACTAGAGATGTCAAAAGGTAATTTCATAAGGCTCAATTTACTTCATAATTTTAAAGTTATATGTATTTTACATAGGCTCAAATATATATAGATGGATTATATATGACAATCTCACTGAGTAATATAGATGCAAAACATATAAAAGGATAAACACAACATGATTAAATTGGATATATAGAAGGAACAGAGGTTGGTTTAATATTAGAAAATCAATTGTTCATTATATTAACAGTTTCATATAATGAAAAAACTTAATATAGTGAAAAAAAACTGCTCATTTCATTAAATGTAGTAAATGCTTCTAAGAAAACTGAACATTCATTTATGATTTTTTAACAAGTTTTCTAGATTAAAAAAAGGGAACTTCCTTAAGTGACACAGGATATTGATCATACTTGTTGCAAGCATTATACTTAATGGTAAAATTCAAAGCTTTCCTTTTCAGATTGGGAACATCACAAATTGCCAGCTGTGACCACTTTAATTCAATACTAATAATGAGCAGCATAAAGAATAATCAAATAAAAAGTATTAGGTCTGGAAAAGAAAAAACTGTCATAGATCATAAAACACAGGTAAGATGAAATATGTAGAAAATCTAGAAAAACTGACATAGGCTTTTGAAATTATGTTTAGACAAGGTAGCCAGATGTAAAATTATATGCCTATGTAACAACAGCAGTTAGAAAGTAAATATACTATTTGTGATAGAATTAAAAGAGGAATACTTGAAGGAAAATTGTTCTAAAAGAGTGAAAGACCCATACGTCTCTAACTGTATTAAGTCTTTAAAGACCTAACTAAATGTATAAGCAATCTCGTGCTCATAGATCCTAAAGGCTCAATATTATAAAGATGTAGATTCTCTCCAACTTCATTTAAATATTCGATATAACCCAAATGAAAATCACATCATGGTGTTTTATTTTCTTGTTGCAAGCTGAATTACAAAACTTGACTGACTTGGTAAACTGAATCTAAAAATTATATACATCTAAAAGGGCAAATAACCCAAAATATCCAAGCACTCTTGAAAAGCAAATAAAAAGACTTGTCATAGGCAGACATCAAGACTCATGAATGACTTGGCATAAAGGCTAAGGCAGTTTGCCATCTGTGCAGTTAGACAAGTAAAACAATGGAACAGAATAGAGATCCAGATAGACAAGACACTGGAACAGAAATGCAGACCAGAAAGCCAAATCCTATGTACAACAGAGGTGGCAGGACATACCAGGGGGAAAAGAGTGGTTTTTAAATGGTGCTGGGATAACTGGTATCCACTGAGGGAAAAATCTAAATTGGACCCCTAGTTCATACAAAAATCAACTTGTAGGATTAAAGACCTAACTTTGAAGGGCAAAAATCAATAATATAGGAAGATGTCTTCATAATCTTGGGGGAGGAAAAGAATCTTTAAGTTAGAAACAAAAATACCAAATAAAAAGCAAAGATTGATAAACTGGACTTAAAATTTTAAGTGTACTTCTTGTCATCAAAACATCATAAACAGAGTACAAGGGTGGAGAGAAGTATGGCTTTAGGGCATTTGCATCATTTCTCAGGGGTGAAGAGAAACTCATCTCCATATCAGTGGGTAATTACCTGGGCAACTGAGGGTGTGTCTGAACCTGCATGGTTAAGGGGAGGGGGATGACTTGCTTTCTGGCTTGCTTCTTCAGGAGCAGAGGAGAGAGACGGCCCCAGACTGCAGTTTGTAAGCAGTAAACGGGTTTTAAATTTTATTTCTCCCTTTGACTGATTTTGGGCTTTAGAGGTATTTTGCCCAGGGATTTCCCTTCCCCGGACTTACAAGGACCCATACTCAGATATATAAAATGCTTCTAGAAATCAAAAAGAAAGGATAACATAATAGAAAAATTAGCAAAAAAAACACGAATAGCCACTTCAAATAAGAAGATAGCCAACTGGCCAATAAACATGAAAATATGTTAGGTTTCTTCAGAGTAGTGAAAATTAATTATCACAATAAGATGTCATTACAGGTAATTTTCTAAAATTTCAAAATCTTCCTATACTAAGAGTTGACTAGGTTATGGAACAGTAGAAATCAGGAGAAATGCTTTTTCATGGCTAGTGGGTATAAATATTGGTAAAACCACTATGGAAAATGTTTTCTTTTCTTGTAAAAATGAACATATATTAAATGACCAGCAGGACCATTCTGTTATATCCTTAAGCAGCATTTCTCAAATCTTTTGATGTCAGGATGCCTTTACACTCTTAAAAATTATGAAGTTCCCACAGAGACCTTGTATTTGTGCCATTATTCTATCACTATCATATTATAAATTAGAAGTTAGAAATTTAAAATTTATTAACAAGAAACCATGACATTAACATCAAATTTTAGTGAAAAATATCTATATATTCCAAAAGAATCAGTGTTAAGTGGGGCAGTTTTTAATTATTACAAATCTTTAACATTTAGCTTAACAGAACACAGGTGGATTCTCAAATCTGCTTTTGCAGTATGTATGAAGTAAACAAAGAAAATCTAATCTTATACACATACGCAGTTGAAAATAGGAGACCTATTTCTGAAAGCACTTGCAGATAATTGCAGATATTCTTCCCTGACGCTACTCCAAAATTTGACTAGTGGTGGTTCCTTAAAGGTTAGTTGTAAAGTGGAATCTGAAACCATGTAAGTTTTCATACTACTATTGTATTAAAATCTAATGGTACTTTATGGTATTTCAATGGTATTTTATTATAAAGTCCAAAGGCTAGAGTTCAACTAATGAAGCAGAATGAACAGGAGGTATGTATGTTAATATATTTAAATTTGTGAGAAGAAATTGGCCAAGCAAATTCAAAATCGGTAGGTCAGGCAGTCAGGAAGAGAAGATCCCCAGCAGGCTTGCCCCCCACAAGTGTGAACTGCAGCTCATCCCCAAGCAGCGGTCGAGAAACGAGGGGCAGCGGAGGAACACACCTGTAGACACAGCTGCTGTGTGGCGTCTCCTACTTTACCAACGTCCTAAGGTCAGGCTCACCCAGAATAATCTCGCTTTTGATTAACTTTAAAATCAACTGATTAGGGACTTAAATCTCATCTGCAAAATTCCTTCACAACAGCACCTGGACTAGTGGTGTGAGTAGGCAAAAAAATGGTCACTGCCTGCGGTTTCCAACGCTCACAAGAGAATGTCCTGTAATCCACTCTAACTAGAAGGAGACTTTAAATGGACTTCTGGGCACTGTAGTCCACACTTGCCACACCAACACATCAAACACACACAGTCTACCTTACATTTTGGATGGGTCTTCACCCACCCATAAATTTGTAATATCATGCAATGTTTATTCGGACAGTGGTGATTGAAGTTGAAGGTTAATTAATACCTTTTTCATACAATATATCTTTTAATAATAATATAATAATAGCTAATAACTGGACTCTCATGTACCAGGCATGGCTCCATATGCTTAAATGAATTATCTTATCCTTATAACAACATTAGGAGGTAGGCGTGATCATTTCCTCAATTTTACAGGTAAAGAAATGGGAGGCATAAAGTGATTAAATAAATTTCCCAAATCATAAAGCTCCCTATCGAGCAATAGACACAGACCTGGAGCCCAGGAAGTCCGACTGCAGAACCTGAATACTAAACCATATGCTTTCTCACTTAAAAAAATTAAATGGGATGATCCATGTAAGATGTCCAGTATAGGGTACATTGCTGGAATTCAAGAAACAAAAGTAATTTTATCATTGTTGTTATGAGTATTTACTATTACCGTCTTTTAGTCCCTTCACAGATAGGCCTCTACTTATTTCCAGCACCCCAATATTCTGGAAGAGATTTCCAACATGTGAAAAATGAGTAAAATAAAATGGGGTCCAAGGGAATGGTGGAGTGCACTGTGTATCTGGCTAAGTGTGTGTTCTGAGGGGGCCCAGAGAAAGCATTCACTGGATATTTAATATTTTATGCATACAGTTATTCTACTCATGCCTGAAGGATGACATTCATGACATGTCTCTTAACATGCCTAACTTCATGCTATTGGTGGTCATAAAAACATGCAGTTAGCATGAAAACCTAGCCATAATATTGTACTCAATGATCCTTTCTCCATCATTAGAAGATCTGAGAAGAGAGGTAACTTAGTAAAATATTAGAGGTACTGGATTTTAGTTTGCTAATTTTCTCATCAACCGTCCTCATTTGCTCTACATGAATTTTTTGACTGATACAGAAAATACAAGATTACCTGAAAAACTGGCTAAGACTTACTGTTTTAATTATTAGTCAACCCAACTATCTACAGGAAAAGTCTTGAAGACATTTATGACATCCTCAAGTAAATAAGATAAAGCCCACAGTGCCCAGAAGCTCTATCAGCAGGAGGGCTACTCTGTACTCGCAGTGAAGACCGATACGGCTCCATCATTAATTCCCACGTACTTACTTCCACCGCGTAGTGGAAGGCCGATGAGCTGGGATGCAATGACAAGTTCTGAAGAGGCTTGATCTGGGGCTTCTCCCATCCAACCTCTGCAGACCACTCTACCGCCAGCATGTGATCCGTGAACACAGTTCCAAAAACCAGAGTAGCTGGGTCTGGCTTTTCTTTCAAAATGGTGGCTGGTGTGATTATTAGATCTTCAGCCTAGGGAAGAAAAATCAGTGCCATTCAAGAATAGTTACGGAACATCCACTGGCTAGATGATACAGGGGATGAACCAATAAAATTTAAGTCACTGGCCACTAAGAAGCAGAATCATTTGTCTTTTAAACATTGGTGACTAACTCAGAAAAACTGAACAACACGATGTGGGCCAAACAAATCATGCCTGCATTCAGAACGCCGCCTGTTGTTTGAGATCTCTGCAATGCACACTGCCAATCAAGATCAGAACCAAATTCAGTGATATTAAGAAACAGGGGCAAAAACAGCAAATGGGATAAAATGACGCAAAAAAGAGGAACATATCCCTTCTTTGCTCTCATCACAGGACTCATGTTGGGTGCTTGGGGAAGAAGAAAGGGGTGTCCTCGATAATAAAAACAGCAACACTCGTGATGATGTGTGAAACTGAAATGAACATCATTAAGAACTGAACCTCTTAGTAGTGGTTATGCTCCAACTCCCCCAAAGAATTCTTGGCATAACCCTTCAACCCCGACTCCCAGGGTGGGGGGGGACACCCTAGTAGAAATGAGCAGACTGAAGCAAATGTTTTCCTCTTTGAAAACAGAGAAGTAGAAAATGAACACCAAAACAAAAATCCTCTGTTTGATGTTGAGGAAACAGTGAACAAAAGACCTCTGATTGCAAGAAAGATATATAATAGTAGTAAGAAACAATTTCACACAGCAGCATTTTGCCAACACTCCACACAGCCAGCTTGCCCATTACAAATGACCCAAAACACAGAGCATGTGAATCACAACCAGTACCACCGCTAACTTTATAATAGTTGCAGAAGACTAAGTAAAACCACATGGGTAGGAGCTTTTTGACCAGTTAAAAAACAGTAATGAGCCAGGGACAGGTTCAACATTAATAGGCTGGTAAGAAAAATCAAACTCCACTTCTTTTAAAATACAAAAGCACTCCACAGGAAAAGTTTTAAAGGCATTATGACTTCCTCAAGTAAATATGATAAAGCCCACACTGCCCAGAAGCTATATTAGCAGGAGACCTACTCTATACTCACAGTGAAGACCAATACAGAACCATCATTAATTCCCAAGTACTTACTTCCACTGTGCAGTAGAAGGTTCCCTACAAATAAAGAACTTTACCTCATCAGCTCTTATCATTATATTTCAAATGATCTCATGACTTTTAGTTCACTGCCTTATGACTGCCTTAGTCATTTGATATCTTATGAATGATTATCAGTTTTATTTTTAGAATAATATTTAGGCTGAAAGCATAATCTGAAACGGAAAGCTAACATTACAGTGAAGTGTGGGGCATTAAGGTCAACACTGTAATTTTTAGGTTAGTCGAGTAATGCTACGTTAAAACATGCTAATAAAATGCCATATTGGTTGGGAGGGGGTGACTTTCTTCCACCACTATTTAATACAAGCAAGTTAACTTAAAACTCTTCATGAAATGCCAAAAAAAATTATTTATAGAGATACATTTCAGCTAAATTGTTTTGATCCTTGAATCCCATTTCTCTCCATTTATCCTCTGAACTAGGGAGGATGTTGGGCAAATTCCACCTGCAGGTCAAATGTAGCCTCCTGGAATGCTGTGTAACATGTTTTATTGGAACAGTCACACCATTCTTTTAGCTTCAGGGAAAGCATACTTGTTAATAGAAACCTGATGACCTTCAAGACTTAAATATTATCTGGCCCATCAAAAACATTTGTCAATCCCTCTTGACTGTTTAGACAAGAATTCCAACTGGAATATTCCATTAAATCTCCAACCTGAGGGCAGCACCTCACACATACAATAATACAGTACAGGTTTTCTTAAACACTGAAAATAACGTCTGGCTGATTTCAGATACAGTCCCTAATGAACGACAGGCTCATCCACAGAAGACGACCAGGGTTTAAAGTGAGTGAAAAGCTGCTAACATCAACTTTTTATGACATGAATGGTTTCACAGTATTCTTGTACAACAAAGCCTGTGATTTTCCTTTAGTGACTTAAGGGATCATGGACTAAGAAAAATGTGGAACCCTAACAATAGAGTAAAACAATGCAAATTTTCACCTATTAAAACTACTAAGAGAAGTTTCCTACTAAAAGAGGAGGGGAGTAAGTGAAAGTATAGAGGAAGAGGGCGAGGAAAACGGCTGAGTTTTTTAGACCTGCTGAATTCAGGATATGAATTTACATACTTCGAAGGCAGCAGAGATTGGCTTTTTTTTTTCTTTTTGAATGGAATCAATAACTTGCATGGGTCTTCAAAAGCAATACCTCCCAGCTGCTATTTCTATCATTAGCAATCAGGTCTATCATGAGCCGATCAACAAGAAGCCAATCCTTATACCACCTTAAGGACATCTAAGCTCGCCGATGAACTCTACCCGCCATGAAACCAAGAGGCAATACAGTACATACAACTTTATTGCAATGACAAACTACTTAGAATATTTTAAAAGCAAGACTATGTATGGCTTTGCCTCATATCAAACAACTATGGGGTGACTGTTTTTGTTGTTTCGTCCCCTTGCTCCTCTTTCCTCCTCATCTGCTTTATGATTCTCAGCATTTTCCCCTTTTAATCACTCAGTGAACACCAGCTGCGCCAGTGTGGCTCAGGCACTAAGCAAGCAGGAGACCAGGGTGCGAAGGGCTCAGCCCTTCCTTCTCGGGCAAGCTCACTGTCAGCCATGGACAGGCGGGAGCCACTGTGAGCAGGTTATTCACTCATTAGGCCTAATATTTTTTGAGCTCCTATGTACCTGGTACTGCTGTAGGCCCAAAGGAACCTCAGGGGACAAAACAAGTCCTTTTATCTAACAGGGAAAACAGTATAAATAAATAAATGGATCAAAGAAGTCAGGAAGTGATTAGTGCTATAAAGAAAGTGGAAACTGCTTAAAAAGTTAAAATGGGAAAGAGAATACTCATTTTAGATAGAAGGCCTAGAAAGGGCCTTCTTGATGAAGTGACATTTGTGCAGAGACTTAAATGAAGAAAGAAGGTATGTAGACTTGTAGACATCTAGGGACAAAGTATTTCAGGCAGAGGAAGTGCAATGGTCCTATGGTGGGAACAAGCTTGGCAAAGTGCCCAGTGGGGGAAATGTGGGGGGAGTGGAGTGGCAGAAGGTAAAGTCACTAAGACACTGGGGCTGCTGAAGTAGGGAAAATGGATGGGCCAAGAGAACCAGTCACTTCCTTGAAGAATGACTGACATTCCAATTTTCCATGAGCTCTGGTGCTGTGCAACTAAGATTACACCCCATCTTCCTTATTTCCCCAGGAATCTTTACCATAGGGTCTGCTGGCAATTAAAGTAACCCCAGCTAATCTCTCTAATCCAAGCAGTTTGGAGGAGCCTTCCAGGATAAAACTAGAGGCATGGCTACCATGCGTTAGCTTCTTGCTCTTTCGAAAGTATGAAGGAGCAGAGCAGGGACGAGAACAGTTGAGACGACGGTAAAACCCAAGAATCTGGTTAACAGTGCTGAGCATCGCCTTGAGCCTCTACACTTCCGATCTGCATCAGTGACTCTCGACTCAGGCTACAGACTGGATTCAACTGTGGAGGTTTCCAAACCACCAACCAGGACCCCACGGCAGGACTGAACCAGAATCTCAGAGGGATACGGCAGGAGGGTGGTTGTTTTGTTTGTTTAACTTCTCCAAGTGAGTCTAACTGTGTGATCAAGGCTGAGAATCATACCACACTTTGTCCCTTAAAGATTTCATCAAATTGAAGAGCAATGGGTCCCCAGCACTGGCTGCCCAGTTGATTCACAAGGGAAGAATTTTTTCTAGAAAAATACCAATACCCATGTCTTACCCAAAATCAACAAAAAAGAAACTCAGGGGAAAAAAAAAAATAAGAAACTCAGAAGTGGAGCTCTACACCAATTTTTATTTAAAGCTCTCCAGAGGATTCTACGGCACAAGATAGGGCTGAGAACCACTGACTTAGGAGAGTCAAGTGTCACGAATTTGTGAATTCTTCCCAAATACCATGTATTCTTTTGCAACCTCGGGACCTTGGTTATCTCAAACTGAACATACCTCAAAAAACACACAATATTTCCTCCAAAACTTTGTGTCTATTTGTGATATTCCTATGACTTTCTGCTTCTTTACTTCTTCACCCTTAATTTATTTAATAAGAAGAATGCATGTTTATTATTTTACTTAAAAATTCTACTGTAAAGAAGGGAAGAAAAATGAAAGCTAGAAAATCCTTAACTACTACCCTGGGCACATTCCCCCTTCCCAAATGACCCCCATTAAAAAATTTATTGTGAATTGTTACTAATTTTTTTTTCTGCGTCTTTATTACTTTGAAGGTCATTTATCGTTCTCACATCTCCCAACCTTGAGTCTCCCATATCACTGCACTGAGACACTTGTACTTTCAAATATTTCTTTAGCAAGTCTGATTCTTCAATTTCTACTACCCCCTCAGTAACGAATATCCTGTACCTCTTCATTATAATCCCTCATGAACACAACCACATGCTTTATCATGACTGTCAATGTCCATGAAGAGCTAAATGACTACAGATTCAAGTCCATTTGTTTTAGCCCCAAAATTAAGGATCCCAAGTATGGCACTAACTTATCTTCAGTCCTACTGCTCACTACTGTTGTGCATAAACCTTTTACTTATCACCTAGTAATACACTCACTGCAAGCAAATCAGTGGGAGTCAGTTTTCTCACATAACGAATCCACAGCAGCCAAGGAGCAGAATCCCCTGATGTCAATCATCTGTGATTTTCCTGGCCTCCTCCTCAGAGTCAAAAAGAAGAGTTATAGCTGTAGCTTCAGCTTTCACGATTAATCAAGGTCCAAAGAAAGAGGAAGAACACAGACAGTACCTGACCAATCTGTTCCCTTTGATCAACAAAACAAAAATTTCCCAGAAATTCCCTTGTGCCTTATTGGTTAGCAATGTGTCAAACTGGTCTCTCTAGCTGCAAGAGAGGCTGGTAATGAAAGTGTATCACCCAGGATCAGAGAACTGAAAATAAAATCAGGGTTCTGTTACCAAAGAACATAGGTGAGGCGGTACTTTGGATACATGTTAGCCCAGTGCCTGAACACTTACCAGCCCTTCAGTGTTCTTGTTTACATGCTTTAGTCAAACATGGAAGAAGAGATGGAAGGACTAAAATTTGGCTTACGGGTGCCTTCCCCCACTCAAAGTCTTTCTCTCCCTGTTATTTCCTCCACTTTTAACACTGGGTATGTGATGCCTCCAGCTTATCCAAACTCCCTTTTTTCTTACCCCAGCACCTCATCTGGTCCAGTTACCTTTGGTATCCTCTGCTTTTCAAACTGCCTAGCATTTACTATGCTCACTGCCTGTACACCCACTGTACATGGAGCTCATCTTCCAAACGGCTTGGTTTGGCTCTGTGAAATCCTTCTAAATTGATTTGATCAAAATGGAAACGGGAATCATTTCTCTTTATTATATTGGCCTTACTTAACACGGTAACAATTATACATATCAAATATGCCTGGTTAATTGTTCTAAACTTCACTAAACTTGGACTGACGTTCATGGTTTGTACATCTCAGCATAATAGAAAGCTAGTTTTTATTAAAAAACAAAACAAAGCACTTGTATTTAGTATATTTCATAAAAGAGCTTTTGTGTTATTAAAAACCTTTAAAGAACCAATTTTGAGAATGATCAAGGCCCAGTGTAATTTTTACTTTTCCAAAGTCTCTAAAATTCCCCTGGGACCACCCATAGTGAACCCCTGGCCCTGAGAAATCAAGTTAGTGGAAGGCAAAGCAGAGACACAGAATAAGATGTTTTTATGCTCAGCTTAGTGCTTTTGTAATTATAATGTGCTAATACTCACTAAGTTTCTGGAAATTGAATAGGATAATTAAATTACCAGGTATTAGCTCTATTTCAGTAAACCCCCACATCTTTTTGTAAGATATGGGATTTCTTAATGATCTGAATAGCAGCCATCTCTCTAATTTGTACATAAGGACTCCCCTATATGCAGTTCGAAGTAATGCACAATGGGGTGGCTTCAGAATTTCCTCAAACACTAATTTCCTTTATCTGAAAATACTTCTGTGAATCTGAAAACTGAAAATAGCAGCTTTTAACCTGAGCTCAAAAAGGAATTACCAAAGAATACTACATCTAAACAATGAGGTGATACAGTTGAATGAAATTCAAAAGAAGACAAACAATATTACCTAAAGGTATGTGACTGGTTTTGAGTAGAAGTGAAATACAGTTCTAAGGTGAAAAAAAAATCACTGCCATAAAAGAAACAGATTTCATAAACAATGTTTATCACTGTTTTTTAGAAACCATTTTCATTTTCTTTTTTAAACTATAAAGGGTTATTTTTTATTATGTAACATAGGCAACATAGGCAAAATCAGTCAATAAATTTAAGAACTTAGTAGTATGGTGATTCCTTCCACTGCCAATCACATTTGCTTCTCCAAAGTGAGGCATGATCTTCAATAAAAAGTCCTTCTAATATCAACTTTTGTTCAATCCAGTTATTATCAGTCAGTCCAGTATTCTTTTAGCTCAGCTTCTTTGCTCTCCTCCGAATATGGACATAATTCAGAAACTCCCCACCTGTAATCTGAGCTCCATTTCTTCAAGCAGTTTACTTTGGGGCCACATTTAAGGTGAAAGGAGATGGATCTCCCTGGTTCTCAATTTCAGATATCCTCTAACCCTGAGTTAAGTTCAAATCATATTCAGTCCTAAGCTGTCATACCCTAGGAATAGTATAGATCATTGGGATATGCAAATACCTAAGATTAAAAAACAATCCTCTATCAGTTCTTTCATAGGTGGAGCAGACCTGTCTTGTAGTTCTTTCCCACAGAGCTAACACACAGTTCTGTGAGTAAAGGAAACCACATATATACACTATGAGGCATTTCCAACCATGTAGGTCGACAGAAAAAGCCCCATCGGGATAGACCTCAAGAAACCGTTTTCTTTTTCTACATTTCCTCTCCAGAGATGGATAAAAATAACAGAATTTGTAAAATGACACCTTTCCCTACATAGTTAATGTTACTTTTGATGCTCCAAGTTCTCTGACGACTTCAAAGCCAGGATGTTTCATACCATATGCTTGTGGGAGAATTTGGAAGCACACACAATGACTGGATTGTGTAATGACAAGAAATATTGACAGAAACCAGCCATAATAAAAACAAACAACTTCCTAATTCAAAACGCATGGTGGGATGACCATTTGCTCTGAAATGGGGAAGCACATGGAAGGTGCAGCAACTGGGTTCAGTGCATCCGAGGACTGTGTTAGCCAGCAGTGACATTTTTTGTTCGCCACTGATCTCAACTGTATTTTTCAGCATTGGCCACAAGGCTTAACTTTCAAAGACATCTGTATTATAACCATTTCAACAAAATTGTATGTATATGACAAATTACCTCATTTTATTCTACACTGAGTGCATTTTTGTATTCTATTTGGAAAGCCTTAGGTGCTGTGTTCATTACCTTTTAGAGGCACTCTTTCAAAATCAAACCAGGGAGGTATGAAGAGGAGAATTACTAATTTGGAGTGCCACATTCTGGAGAGACTTGTAAAGCAGAGGGAACCGGAGGAATAAGCAGGTGACCTCTTTGAAACAAAGACGACTCTTGAGCCCAAAGAAAGACCCCATCCAACTGTGCAGTATCAAGAGAGCTCATTGCTGGGCCCTTTTGGAAAACTGCACCTTCGCTTTAAAATGACTGCATCAAAATGGAGGAGGGGATGCAAGGTGAAAAGGCCCCATGAGAAACCCAAATGGCACTTCGAAAGTTAATTAATGGGGTAAAGCAAGAAAGATAAAAAATTAGGTCAACAAAGATGTTTCCATAAACCTCACCATTCTTCTCCCCCAAATTATCAATTTCATTTTTCACTGGCCTCGTCACATATGCACCGTAAATAAAAACACCATTACAATGCATACTTTGATAAGTAAATACGTGAACATAGAAATACCTCCCCTTTAACTAAAACCTAATATGTAATCATCTAAATTATCAAATAACTTACTTTCATTGTGAACTCTTCCCTTTGCAAAAATTCTTGTATGTATAAAAGTATAATGGCCTTTGGGGAAAAACCATGTTTATATTTTTTGAGGAATTTACCTCCCGTATAAAATGACCCTGAGAGATTACCAAGTAGCAGTCAGTCCCTTGTATCTCATTCCTTGTAGGACCCAAATGTCAGTATCTGACTTCCCACAATGTATTAGAGCATAGTGTTCACAGACCAGCAGGGGAGATTATATTAGTGATAGGGCTGTGGACATATTATCAGGAAAGGACCAGGAATATTAAGGACAAATGAAATTCACACTTACTTTAGTAAGGAAATTATGCTATTTAATATATTTTGGGTTTAAAAAATTCCTGAGAACAGAGACCTCATCTTGAATTTATCTTTGGTTCCCAATGTCCGGCACAGTCCCTGGCACATAGTAAGAGCTGGGTGTATATGAAATTAATGAGTCAAGTTTCCCCTCCCTCTGAACCCTGCCAGGATGTGAGATCATTAGGACATTCTGTGCTACGGATGACAATTGACAGTGACTGAAACAGGCAGCAGGAGAGTGGAACGAAGCACAAAGAGGAGAAGCGAAAACCTCCATGGCTGGAGAGGGTGGAGAGAATGACTTACAGAGAAAATAATAATACACCTTACATTTGTATTTTTACAATTTTCAAAGTACTTTTACAAGACTCTTCTTTCGCTCCTCACCATTCCTCTGTGAACTGTGAGATTAATATAAACCCCATAATTCAGAAAGAATACAAGAAAACACAACACTTTTACTGTGAAATGTTAGGTACTGCTTAAAGAGAAAAATCACGAGTTTAACATGCCACAGAGTGGAAAACTGTACTTATTAATCAATCAGGTGATTAAACCTTATTAAATGTCGAGGTGAATATTCACAAATGGTTTTCCAAAAAAATCTATGATGATGAAATAAAATAAGTAACACCAGGTAATTTGAAATGGCAAGAATGTATTACTGCTCCCCAAGTAATCTTCTTCCCTCTTAAGAGTGGAATTTAAAATGTGTGGCAGCATATCTGAACTACTAGATAACCCACACAGTGGAAATTGCCCCAAATCCCAACAACAACAAAAATGGCAGTTGAATGGCTGTTTCATGTAACCTCTGGCAAACAACTTACCTTAAAAGTCCCGGCCACCTCTTTTGATCCTGCTTCTCCAGTACATTCTGCGGAGCATCCGTTTTTGCTGTCCTTAAAGAAGAATTAAATCCATTAAGTAAACCAGGTGGTAACTGCGGCTGGGGGTAATCACTCTCACTCACCATTACGCGTGTGCCTAAGCCAGCAGGAGAAGGAGGACCAAACGCCCAGGCTCAGCCCCAAAGCAGAGCGTCCTAGTGGCGGTGGTCTGTACGCCTCTCTCCTGCGGCGGGCCAGGACGCCGCTGCTTTTGTCCTCCACCCCGGCTTGTGGAAGACTGGTTAATTCCTGGCTCGCCCTACAAAGCCAGGGTTCCCCAGCGAAGAACAAGTAGGTGATTGTCTCCCTTATATCCAAGTAAGTAGTCTAGACTAGGGTTTTAAGCCATTTATAGGAAAATCTCCTGCGCGCCCTCAGCCTCGTGGTCTTGTCAATCACGGGCGCACAATAGCGAGCCTGGAAAAGGGATGCGGCCCAGAGCGAACCATTTCTCCGCGCGCAGGGTCCCCCGGTGCAGGCGCAACGACGCACCCAGCCCCACCCGCTCAGGGCAAAACCTCGGGGAATCAGGGGGTGAATGAAAAGATACCTAAACACACCAGGGAAATGGACGAATTGGAAAAAGGTATAGACTTGAAGAAAAAAGGGCCTGATATGCTAAATAAGTAGGGGGGTGAGAGGGAAGAAAGGGACCCACGAGGGCAGAAGGCTGCGGTCAAAATATTTTGGGGGTGGCGAGGCGCGCAGGACTTGGCTGTCACTCTTGGAAGCCTAGGAATTCCGCTCTCCCCCCGCCCCAAAGCGGCTTCCGCGGCGACGCTCACGTCCCCCGGCGGCGGGCGGCGCCCTGCGGGGCCCCGAGGGCGGGCAGGGGGGCGGCTGCAGCGCGGCGCGCGGGCCTGGGGAGCGGGTCCACGCCGCCCCCCTCCCGCCAGCGCGGCGCTGGGGTACCTGGCGGGCCAGGCCCGTGACGGCGAGGGGCGGGCTGGCCATGGGGCGCGGCGGCGGCACCCAGTGCGCGGCTGGTGGCGAGAGCGGGCGGCGGGGCGCAGCCGGGGCGCAAGGACCACGGGACGCGGGCGGCCGCAGCCCGGGGCCCCGCGCCAGGGCGCGGCGCAGGGAGCCACGCAGTGCCTCCAGCATTCCTCGGGGAGGAGCCCACCCGTCCGCCCTTTGCGTTCTGCAGTCGGGAAAACCGAAGCCCGAGCGCCCGCCGCCGGCTCTCCGGCTGGAGCACGAGAGCGCGCGCCACGACCGAGCGCCTTTCCAGGTGCAGCACTTGACGAACATCCTATTTACTGAACAACCCCCGGGGAGAGGCCCAGAAACGCCCCCTGGCCGTGGAAGGCAACCTCGGGGAAATTGATTTAAATACAGGAGATTTTTCTTCCTCAAGCCCACGCAAGTCAGTTTCGGCCCCTCCCCCTCCCCTCCGCGGTTTGCAGCCCAGGATGGGTAGTTGGGCGTGGGCTCTTAACTGCCACGGAACCCCGCTTGCACACTGAAGGGGGAGAACGTAAAGCTGGGATTTAGATTTCTTTGTGCCACCTAACCAAGTCTGATTTGTAACTCGGTCTGTTCAGGGGCTGCCAGGCTCGTATCCCCTAAGAGCTGCTTCTTCCCAAAGATGCCACGTAGATCCTCCCACCCATTCATCGTTCTCGGGCGAAATAAACTATCAAGAGCTCCGAAATGAAATGCTCTTGAGTTTTCTGATGTAGGCCTGTGAAAGCAACATACAGAACTGAGCGGGCCATCAGACGTGTAAAGACGAAAAGGAAGATCGTTAGCAGCCTTGGTTCCCCAACCCCCCCACCCCCGCTGTGTTCTCCCGGTGCAACATCAGCCTGAATGATGAGCTTTTCTGGGCTTTTAAATTAATAGAAAGTGGTAACTTGGGCTGACTTGATCTTGGAAAGGGGTAAGGCGGTTTATTATGGGCTAGAGCGCTTAAATGCGGTCCAGTTTTAGAAATGATTTTCTACAGCCTTAAAAGCTGAAAAAGCTCTTATTAATTTAGAAAACGGCCTTCACTTCCTCCCTCCCGTCCCTTTATATAAGGCACTGAAAAGCCTCTTATGCTGGGGTGGAGTTTTAAGCTCCAAAAAATCAGAGCCTGAGCGGGTCACATGTCACTGGAAACCAGTCTTCTCTTCTTCTTTAACGAAAAATTTTTAAAAATACAGACTAAGTAAATTCTAGGGCTGCCAGTTCTTGACCTCTGCCCAACCCTAAGAATAAGAAACCCTTCGTTGAAGTGTTATAAACAACTCATTTGTAGTCAATAGATGGCTTAAATGTCTATATGATATTCATTCAAAGCCAGGACACAACTTCGATTTTCTTGCTATTTTTAATGTTACTTGCAAATCCCTTTTCAGTCAAGAAAGCATTAATACAATAATGGTGTTATTTAAGAAGTACCCATAGCATCTCCTGTACCGTTTCTTTCAGAACCAAACTTTGTGAAGTTTGTATTGACTGGCCTGTTTCTCCCCCCATCAAGCAACTGTAATTTGACTTTCTGAACAAGGTTCCCGATAGCCTTTGTGAAAATTAAGGAAACTTCGCTGACATGCCGTAGGCGGCCTGCTGGGGAAGCTCTCAGCCTATCGCTCCCCTAATCTCAGACCCACGGGAAGACACCCAGGCCACGCTGTTTTAGCTACTTTAATCCCCAGCCGCAGGAAGGAGGGTTTCTGCCTTGCCTCCCGACAAATGGCCCAGCCAATGAGAGGCTGCCATAACTCAGCCAATGAGAACCCATGATAATGGGACTCCCAGTTTCCTCCAATGGGCTTTGTGCTTAGAAAAGCCTGACCACTCGGTCCTTTTGCTCTAGGAGAGAGATTTGGTCTGCTTTGATTTTCAGGCCAAACCTATGGTTTTCTTGTACCTTGCATGACCCAGATTTTAATTTTTTGCTATTCCTCAATAAACCTGTTTTTGCTGGTAAAACAACTTTTAAGGCAGCCCAATGGTTTTGCTGCCTCTCCATTTTCATGGCTGAACAAATTACTGATGACTCATTTTTTTCATTGCACCTCTCTTCTGAGCACTTCAGTACTTAAGATCAAAGATCTATGACATATGTGTAACATTTACAAAGGCACTGGACTAGCTGGAGATGCCATGTGAACATACCTCCATGCCATTATCATGCATTGCTTCCAGCCAGACAGAAAAATGTTACATGTGTTAAAAAGCATAATTAATGCTACAAATGTAAAATTGCAAATGTACAAGGACTACCTGTGCTTTAGCAGCCTCTCAACTTGGGCCTAGAAAGGAATCCTGGGGCACAAATTTGGAGGATAATAAAAATGTATTGCAGGAAGGGATGGAAAACATTTGGGATGAAAGTGAATTCCAGGCCAAAAGGACATTTCTGAGAAAGAAAGGAACGTAGTGCTTACAAGGGACCAAAAGACCAGGGCGAGACAAGTGGAAGGTGCTCTGTCTGGGGAGAGACTGGCCAGGGCAGGAGGTAAAGGGCCAACTTTGTGCCATATAGAATTAAAAAAGGAGAAACTCTCTGTCTTGCCTGAGCGTTTAAGCCCTGGGCAAGTTCACTCTGAATTCAGGGAGACTGAAAAATGACAGAATGCTCTTGAGGTAAAAGGCATTATTACCCAGCTTTATTCTCGTGGTGGCAGGTGACAATCTAGAATCCCGTCCCTCTCAGGACAAGTCTGCATGCAGAAGCCGGTCTCTGCCCACCCCTGCCCCCCATCTGGCAGCCCCAGAGCACTGGGCGGAGCTCTTCATATACAGTCAATAATACTTATGGCCCACATGTGTGCAAGCCTGCACCTGCAAGCACTGCACGTGCCCACTGGGCAAACAGACCAGCATCAGGCGAGAATCGGGGTCATGGAAATTCCATTTCTGTACACACCCCCAAAAAGGTAAAAGCCTGGCTGTCACATAGACATGAAATGAACTTGTATTACAGACTGTGCTTAACTCACTTAATGAAGTGACCAGGCAGATGTTAAAACTGGTTCAAAGAACAGTTTCTGGGTCAGGAATAGTGATGTGAATTTGCATATAAATATAAAACTGGATCTCCTCACAGTAGGGGAAAGAAGTTAATTGAACCCCGACCTGCAAAATTTATGTGACTGTCTACAGAATGATTTTGCATTTCTATCAGCTATCCGTAAAATAACTCAAAAACAATGAAACAATGCAAAAGCACAATGAAAGGACCCAGGGACTCCTAAGAACTAAAAAAAAAAAAACATTGAAAGGATTTGGCAGGAAATAGGGTGGGAGGTTGACAGGGTCAGGTCCCCTCTGGCTGCAGTTTGGAGATTGGAGGAGGGCCTGGGTGTAAAGGGATGGATTTATGAGGCAGCCCTTGCAGAACCCACATATGAGATGATCCTATTAATAAGGTGGACTTAGCAGGTGGTAGGTGACAAAGTTGGAGAGCAGCAGCCAGATTTCAGCAATCCTTAGAATGGAGATGAGAAGGAAGAAGGGAGAGAGACAAAGGTGCCAGGAGGCCTCCTTGGTTCTGGTGTGTGTGTCTGGTTGGTGATATTCACCAAGAAAAATGGAATGCTGAAAGATGACATGGTCTGAGGGGATGAGTAGGAATTTGGTTGGGGACACACTGAATTTTGAGGTGACCTGGGACTAGCTGTTAGAGATAAGCCTGTGGAAGCCCAAATGAGAGGTCTGGATTAGAAGTAACATTTATCAAGTCACTGGCATGTACGTGTAACTGAAGCTATGGGGTGAGTGAGAATGTCGTATCTGTGCCTCAGTTTCTCATCTGTGAAATGGGACAACAGCAACACATCCTGTTTGCCAACTGGGATAGATTATCTTAACATATGTAATATACATAAATTATTTAGCACCTTGCCTGGTAAATCTCAATCCCTCAGTAAATGTAGGTAATGATCATTTACCTCAGATGGCCAACACCTTCTGAAAGGGCAGATTGCAAACATTTCAGGTGTTGAGGGCTACCGGCTGTCTGCTGCAACTCTGCAAATCTGTCTATCACAAAACATAAACAATAACGTAAAAGAATGGGC